AGCTCCTGGGTAAATCTCTTTACTTCTCGGCATTGGTATCATCATTTGTAAATGGAGGTGATGAAAGTACTCAACTGTAAATGGAGGTATTTTTATAGCATCTCTAAGCTATATTCAGATGTTCAAGAATAGTATTTTTAGAACATAAAGGAGAGGGGGAAAAACTTTAATTCATAAACGTGTTTTCATTATGAAGCAATTTTTTGCATAAACAGATACGTAGAACTTTTTATCCTGAAATACATTCAAAGCTTTTTCTATGTAAAATTGATCATAAAAGCCTTTTCTATTAACTATTATCCTTTCTATGTGTTCATAAACCTACAAGTCTACTAAAAAAATCAATATAACAGTTAACTTCTTGACCATTAAAACTGTAAAATTTGACTTCTCCTTTGTTTTAAAATGTAAACCATATCATCTCCTTTATGTTAAGAAAAAAAGATTCCTATATTAAAATCTTGATTTTGTTCATTGAAATATTCAAATATCTGTATAAATATCTATATACTGTAGTTATTTGTGACTACAATATTGAGTAACAAAGAAGAAATTGATCAATTAATTAAAATCTTATTTCACACCCCCTTTTCATTGCTAATAAATAATTTGTTCTGGCGAAATGATTTTATTAAGTTGTTATTGCTTGTCAATATATAATAATGTGTGTAAATTCCCATAGATATGCCTGAATTCTACATTTTTCATTTCATATTAAGGAAACAAGCTTGAAAAATAATTTTTAGTGTTGAGATTTATAATAACAAGATTTCATTTCACTCACACTAAGAGGTTCTTCATTTTCATAGAAATTAGCCCATTTATGAGAATTCTTGTTATAAAATTGTACAAGAAATACCACATAATGAAGAATGAAAATTTAATTTCAAAGATTTGATAACTAATGTATTATGAATATCATAATACATATATATAACTATTATAATAGTTATAATAGTTATATATATTATAGCTACAAATAATCATAATACAACTCTTTTGTTAATATATATGGTAATTTAGAGTATACTTAAGTTTATCAAACACTTGAATTTAGTCATTAATGAATTAAAATAGTAGGTGCTCTACATTAATTAGAAACATCTTAAATAGTAAAAATAAATCATGGGAGAATTTCTTTTATAATCTTTGAGTAGGGAAATTTTTATCTATTTAACAGTTAAAATTCAAAGACTACTTTGTTTAATTAATTGCTTTTTATCCTAGAATTTCAATCTAATTTTAGTGAGATGGGTTAAAAGTTAATTAGGATAGGATTTTGTTTGTATGTAGGCCACCATATATGTGCAAACTTTAATCTCTGATATGTATATATTAAAATGTGTTGCATTTTATTGATTTACTATGTCAGTATAGCAATAGGCTATACATTCATACATGGTAAACATATAATCCCCTAGAGTATAATATTGTTAGAGGAAAGATTACTGTAGTTTACCATTTCTTCTATATTTCAATTCTGGCAAATATATACTTTTTTTTGGATATTCATTTCAAGTATATTCTTCTATGGATAGAAAGTTCTAACTATAATGTTTGGTAATTTTTAAAATGACATTTTTATCCATGTTTGATATTTTGTTTTGATGTCCATGTTATAATATTCTCACTAGGGAAAGGATGATAATTTAATGCAACATCTAGTTGTATTCTTCATAATTCTGTGCTATTTTGAAATTTAAGAGGCCCATAGTATTCTTTTAGATATACATTTCTTCAGTTCCTGAAATGGAATGCCTGTAGACTTTACGCTCATTAAATGTAGCTTATCAGATGTTGACTAGTTCAGTAATATAAATTATGGCATTACTGTGAAGTTTGTAATCTTTAGTACATCAATTAAAGTAAATGTATGGGACAGTTTGCTCTCAGGTTGGCATTTGAAGTCATGCTACATAAAGTCATACTTTTCATTTGTTTTCTTCTTAATTCTCTCTTTAAATGACAATTATGAATGAAATATAGGATTGTATAGGGTAACAAATAGTGTTTTACGTTGATAAGAAAAATCTTCCTTCCCAGAAAAAATATCATGGAAGAATTTATTGGAGTATGGAAAAACCTATTGAAGCAAGATGCAGAATCCAGAAGCTGTAATTGAAAACTTTAAAATTCAAAATGTAAAATTAGCATGCACGCCAAAAAATACCCTTGAGTAAAAAGATAAACCAAAATATTTGCAAAACATATCAGAGACATGGCTAAGTTCCTTAGTATATAAAGGATTTAAATTCTGTGGGAAAAGACTGACAACCTAGAAAAATAGGCAAAGAACTTTGATAGATAGTTCTCAAGAAGAAAAAAAAATGCAGATTAAAAACTATTGTGAAATACCAATTCTTATCTATCAGATTGACAGTTCTGTGTGGTATTGTATAATAATGTCTATAATAGCAATAAACAAGAAATAATCTTAAATTTCTGTTGATGGAGCCTGGATGAATAAATTGTAATACCTGTAATAAAAAAAATAAAATCTATTTTATAAATGTATTAAAAAGAACAGTGTGTCACAGAGGTCAGCTCTGTGGCGTAGTGGTTAAGTTCACACGCTCCACTTTGGCAGCCCGGGGGTCACAGGTTCAGATCCCAGGCACGGACCCACGCACCGCTTATCAAACCATGCTGTGGCAGGCATCCACATATAAAGTAGAGGAAGCTGGGCAAGGATGCTAGCCCAGGGCCAGTCTTCCTCAGCAAAAAGAGGAGGATTGGCAACAGTTGTCAGCTCAGGGCTAATCTTCCTCACCAGAAAAATCCCACAAAAACAGAACAAAAAAGAGCAGTGTAGGTTTCTGTGTACTAGTATGGAAGATATTAAAGAAATATTGTTAAATGAAGAAAGCAAAGTTAAGGTCTGGTGAAATGTACGATCCAGTTTGTGTAAAAAGAGAGACTATACACACACACACACACACACACACACACACATACACACAGTTGGATAATGGTTGCTTTTGAGACTGGAACTGAAGGAAAGTAAACTTTTGATAGAAAAGGACTTAATTTTCATTTTTTATGCTTTATGTTGATTAATTTTTCTTTACTATGTTCAAGGATTCTTTAAACATATAAAATAACTTTAAAGAAAGAAAATTCTTAATTAAGTAAAACACCTCAGTGAATACTGCCTGAAATACCTCCTATATGCCACAAATTTCTTCATCATGTTGGAGATTTTAAGATGGATACAATATTGTCCTTACTCTTCTGAAAAACCAGTAAATCTGTACTGATTTGTAAATAGGGCAAAACTCAATGTAGTAGATATTCTATTAGAGATGGGGCCAGGAAAGCTATATATCCCTTTGTAGATCTCAGAGTAGTTTACATACTTTAAGTTAACTGAACTTCACAAAAACCTGACAGAATAAATCGAGCACAGTATGTCCAGAGAAAAATAATAGCTAAGCTTGTTTTCTATATTTATGCATTTAATGCTTATATCAGCCCTAGGAAGTAGGTACCATTATCATCCCCATTTTGTCGAAGACATGGAGAACTTAAGTAATGTGCAGAAGGTGATGCTGCTTGTACTGAGTGCCATTTATATATTCAAATCCAAGCAGTCTGGTTACAGGATCCTCACTCTCGATAGCTACACTGTTGTGCTCAAACTTTATTCTGCAATCTGAATTCATCTCTGCTTTGTACGTGAAAGCCATAAGATTCAGAGGGTCAATAATTAGTTCAAGATTATACTGCTAGTAAATGCCAAAGCCATACTAGAGCCATGTCCTCCTGACTAAATGCGGTGATCTCCTCTGTACGCCACACTGCCTCTAGTTCATAGGGGAGCTCCAGGAGGGAGCAGGGGAGCAGCTGTATTGATAGCACCACCTATCCTAAGTACTAATGACAAATCAGAATGTGTGGTTTCTCTAAGAAAACAATTGTAGTAAAAAGAACTTACTTCCTTTTTATGAAAATATTTCCTCTATTCAAGTAATACCCAATAATCTGTTTTGCTCAGTAACTTTGATATGATTTCTTGAGAAATTTTCAAGATCATTGGATAAAAAACTGGTATTCATTTAAAGCTTGCTTCTGCCTTGTGAAAAGACTCTGTCAGCAATCCAGAATGAGGGCTGTGCTAACAAAATTCCAACTTTTCTGTGGGATGATCCAAAAACAGCAAACAGAAGGCATTAAATTTCTCAACAGTCACAAGTGCTTACATGCATGCTATGCCATTCCTGTCATTCACTGCTTTTTGGTGTGCAAAGATTAAAGCTGGAATACTTTGATTTGCAGACTAATGTGTTCCACAGAGAACTTTTTTCATATAGAAAAAACATCAGAGTAGCTTAAGTGCATTTGAGGGTTGTGCCCTCTGCCCTACATTTATACAGCTCTTACCTGAATATGTGTGTTTAGTCTGATTTTAAGGTATTTGCCTTGACAGTGTGCCTTCATGTGTCTAAGACATTTGCTGTATAAGATTCTGAGTTGTTTCTCTTGCTCAGTTCAGAAGCAGGTTGACACAAGTACTCTGATGTCAAACAGAGAATATGAAGTGTGTGTGTATATATATATATACACACACACACTTATATATAAAATAATTGTTAAATTGAAAGGAAGCATGGCTCCATGGGTTAAGTGATATCTAATCTTATCTCTTCCATAATCCAATCGCAGTCTCAGTAGCCTTAGTGACAAACTCAAAAGCCAATACCAGAATTATTTAAAAACTTGCTTAAAAAGTATATAACCGAGTTAAAGAAATAAATATGTGCATAAATAAACTGTTCTTCTGTTTAGCTAAAGCTTTCCTGAAACATCACTTACATGCCAAAGCTTCGCTAAAATATCACAGAGCACAGTATATATGAACATTGCATTGATGTTGGACTGTGTTCTACTTAAGATAGCACTTCCAACCATGTTAATAGAATGGCAGTGGGTGGGAAAGCGACCTAGGTGACAACACATAACATGCAGTTAAAATGTCTTCTCGTCCTCTTTTTAAATTACAGCAAATTCAGTAAAGCTAGAAATGCAGAGTGATGAAGAGTGTGACAGGAAACCCCTGAGCCGCGAAGACGAGATCAGGGGCCATGATGAAGGTAGCAGCCTAGAAGAGCCCCTAATTGAGAGCAGCGAGGTGGCTGACAACAGGAAAGTCCAGGAGCTTCCAGGCGAGGGAGGAATCCGGCTTCCGAATGGTAAACTGAAATGTGACGTCTGTGGCATGGTTTGCATTGGGCCCAATGTGCTTATGGTACATAAAAGGAGTCACACTGGTAAGCAGCTGAAAGAATGACCTGATGACTGCCTGTGACCTCTGGTGTTGATATTACCTGACATCTATTCTTTTTCCTTTTTGTTCAGGGGTGGCAATGGTGAAGCTACCTTTTCAGAATTCTTCTAGTATTGAATTGCTGAAAAGCAGAGAGTAGCCTGGGTCTTGACTTCCAGCCTTCAGATCTGAATAGCATATCAGAAAAGAAGTTTTGGGATTCAGTTTCCACAGTTCTTAATGTAGCAATAATATGATAAAGGTTCAAAAGGTGGAGGAGAATTTCATTGTGTAACTTAATCTTTTTGTATTTCTATACATAGTTTACTATACCCATGGGCAGGTAATGGAGTTTTCTAGCTAAGAGGTTATACCATAAAATGGCACTCATGCATTTATACAGAGGTGGATCATTTTCACCTTATCTAGTTAACTTCTTGGAATACAATTTCCAATCAATCTTTGCCTACCATGGGTCTCTATGGTAGGCAGGTTTTACTTACTTTTCCTAGTTCAAGGATGTTATCATCTTCTATAATTTTTGATTATAACTCCTGCAAGGAGATATGTAGGGTGGAATATAACAAAGGGTGGTGGATGTGCAGGTAGGAATGTGTAATCATGGAATAGGGTAAGGAGAGAGACCTCAGATTAATTTAATATGTACTTTTAGACATTTGAGTAATGTAAAACAACGATCAAATGAGAAGGCCTTAGTTAAATCTCTTCAAATCCTTTTGCAAAATAAAAATTTCTTTTTAAAAAACAGCTGAGATTGTGGTAAGATAGGCGGATCATTGACTCTTAAAAAGAAGTTTCAAGTTCATATGAAAATTGATTTAAAGGTAATGATAGCTTTTACGATGATGCAAAGTAGTAACATATAGCAAAATGTTAATAACTAATACTCAGAGTTTTAAAATATGACCCTCTTTTGGAAGAGGAATAAATCACAATAAAAAAACTGATTTAAAAGGTTGACTTGTAGATAATCAATTTAATATGCAGATACTGAAAACATGAGAGAGAAAAGGTACCTTGAAGTCTTGTTAGTGCAGACCTCTCTCTTACACATGAAGAAACTGAAGCCCCAAAAAGTCAAGTGATTTGTCCATCATCCCTTATGTAGTTGAGGGCATTGTGGGGCTAGGACCCAGGTTTCCTGATGCCTGGAGTGGTTTTGTTCAAATATACTATACTTGCTATATCAATATACCGACATTTTATGATGAGATATTACTATAAGGCTAATACTTTAAAAATTGCAGTGAGATGTTCCACTTTCCGATCAGCATTATCTTAATCAAAATCACCAGCTTAGAGCCTACACCCTTATTCCAACCATATACTCAGTTACATTTTTACTTTTTGTTTTGAATTTCCTTTTTAAATGGCATCATATTTTTAAAATATATTACTAGCGGAAATTTTTTTCTTTAATTTTTAAAAACGTCTCATGGAAAAGTTAAAAGATAAGCTGTGTATCATATATGATAAGGAAAAAAAAGGAAAAGACTAAAATAATGAGTCTACTTTTCTTCTATGCCCTTGAAGTGATTCTAACTGTAGTTCTAAAAGAAGAGTTCTACAAAACTATAATTTGTTCCATATCTCAGAGTGATTATGTTGAGGAAGACAACACTCATTCAAATGTGTAACTTCTCTCATCTAGCACTATACAAACTAAACAAAATTACTGAATTGCATATAGTGTTCATTTTAAGGCTGAAAAGTATGCTAAAAACATTTTTTGGAAGACTTTCAATAATGGTCTGAGTTAAGAAAATTCAAAGAACCTGAATGTGCTCTCTTAAAAATTTAGGTTAATCAATGTTTCAGTGTATCTGCAGTGATTTTCATGAGGTTGGTTTGAAAACACAATAATAATTACCTACTGTACTGTCCATTTGATATTTACTGGTATAGTAGAGCTGAGTTATTTTGATTCTGAAAATCATCTAATTGACCTGGAAAATGTTTCTAAATAGTTATACAGATTTCCACAAGTCCTATGAATATGGGATTCGCTCAACCAGTAAAGGCAAGGAGAATGGACTGAACAACCGTTTAAAGTACCCTTGCAACTCTATGAACTTTTATTGTTAATAAATGTTTATTGGAGTATTGCAAAAATTATTTCACTTTCCTCAGATCTGGAAGGTTTGTGCTCAAGTTAATAGCCATTCATAGAGAGGTTTGGGATACCTGCCACACATTGTTGACCTTAAAATTGTTATCTATCTTTAAATTAGCTATTTTTATGTGTATTTCTTTTTTTTTTTTTTATAAAATGTGATTTGATTTATTCAAATTAAAATGATACACAGCTTTTCAACAGGGTTTCACTGAGACATATTTCTGTACAAGTTGCAGAATTATAAAACACATGTATTAGAGAATGCTCCTTAATTTATCAAAATGATTCACCTCTAGGTCTTTTAAACAACATGCCCTCTAGTCTACCAAAATATTATTTTACAGATGGTGGTGGTGTGCTACTTACCACCCAGACAGACAGGACTGTAGCTAAGCATTTTTCTTTGCAGTGTAAGTAAAAACCTGTTCAAAGTGCTTGCAAGTTTATCAACTAAATCACAAGACCTAAGAGGAACTACATGTTTCTACTATATTTTCTGTATTTCTGATGACCCAGTTTATACATCTGAGTGGGTCATGACATTTTCATCTCCATTTTAGTACTATAATAATAGAAAATCTATTTGTGTTTCTTTAATTTAAAGCAGACTGAAACAATGTAGTCAGAATGTAGTCGTTAACCAAATCTTTTCTCCTTGATACCATGAACTACCGTCTTCATTGTAGAACTTCCCCCCTCACCAATTATTTATAGCTAGTATAAAAGGCAATGTCTTAACTCCTTATAAAGCCTTTGAGAAACATATGCTTGTGTGTTTTTGGCTCATAGAATATCTAATATAAAATTGATATTGAGAAAAAGATACACAACCACCCAATTCCTTAAAATGATGTGGAGTATCTGATCTAATTCACTTCTTCTTCTTTCTCTTTCATACTCTACTAAAGTGCCAATTCCCGTGTCTTACTAAGGGGTTGGTGTTATGTCTTTGGTATTGTTGCTTTAGTAGGTAATCAGGTAATATTGCCATCGGGCACTCCAGGCACTCTTCACTGGGAATGTGGGGAGAATAAAGAAGTAGAGGCAGTAAGTCAACTCATGCATAAACGTGAATTGATGCAAACATTACAAATATAGAATATTCTTAATTTTGCCCCTTTTTGGGGTAGAGTAGTCCCATCTTTGTAACTTCAGGTTTTCAGCACAGTATTTTGTACACTGAAGCTTTGTGGAGCCATTCTCTTGCTCCAAGGCCCAGTCTACTGGTGCTTTGGGATTTTTCGTATTTGTAGATGGTCTTCCATCCAACACAGGAACACTCTCTGTCTTTGATTCACCAAAGCAAATTGATGCCTGTATGCTTGCATTTTAATGGAATATTTAAACACATATCTAGAAATATGTGTTTATGAAAGTATATAAAATATTGAAATATAATTTACTCCATAATAAGAATAATAGATAACTTCATCCAGTGAATAACTAAAAATGGTCCTTGAGTAGATTAGTAGATTGATTAAAAAAAAAATTGAGAATGGAAATGAAGGATAGCATGATTACGTCTTAATTGTTCTCCTGGATTCAGAGTTGTTAATCCAGACTTTGTGTCCACCCATGGGAGGATTAGTTATCACAAATACAGTAGCCTACTTTGATTTTTTGAATTGGATTACTTTATAGTGTCACTAATGTAGTGAGTAAATTTGTGGGGTTTTCCTGAAATCTGCTTTTATTTATATGTGAAGAAGAACATGGTTAATATTTTTTTTCAGACAAGCTCTAAACTGACTCGAAAAGGACCAATTGATTGAATCTGTTTATTGAAGAAAAAACAAATTATTAAAAAAAGAAATAACTGAGATGTGTTGTTTCAAGTTAAGTAGAAAATATAGGTAGTTAACTGAACCTTTTACGTAATTGTCGGATCATTTTACACATTTCTGTAATGCCTAGGCCAGGAATACCTGAAAAACTTGGATAAAAGGATTACTCACATTTTACAGGGGTGACTTTTTAAAAAAAATTAGTCAATCCACTTAATTTTGATTTGTTATTAAACAGATTTGGATATGAATTCTGTTTGGATTGTTCCTGGAGTATGAACTCTGTTTTCTTCCTTGTCTCCAACAGTAGTGTTATTGAAGGTTTTCACTGTAATTCCAACTAAATTTAGTTTAAAGCACACACAAAAAACAGAGGATTGTTGAAATAATTATTTTAATCAAGACATTAAGAGTAGTTAAGCGTATTTCAACCCAAAATGAGTAAAGCCATAGGATTAGTATCCGAGAATTAAAAAAAAAAACAAGTTATTACATATTAATTTATTACTTGCCTGGGAAACCCTACATAGAGAGATTTCAAAAGTAAAATTAAATATTTGGAGTGAAAAGTATAATTTACATTTGCTATTTTCCTACTGTCTAAAAAAGTTAATTTCTTGAAAAAAAATGCTCCCTCCTTCCTTTTTATTACTAATTCCATGGCAGGGATGGAGAGTAGAAAATCCTGATTTGAAAAAGTTGTAGACTGCTATTCCATTGAAAAACCAAGTCAAAGAATTAACTTAAGTTGTATATGTGTGTGTGTGTGTCTGTGTAAAATAAAGGTTTACCAAAATTAGGTTTATTTTAAAACTTTATTTTGTAAGAATTCATATGAGAGGTTTTAGATAAAGTATTTCTGTTTTAAGCTGTATTTACTGTTCATTTAATTTGTCAGTTTTACCAAATGAATCAACCAAGTTAAATAAGATAAAATTTAAGATAACTTTAACATGACGGATAATTGTTTTTCAACTAATACGTCAGTATAAGACTTTTTGTAAACTTAGCTCATAAATCTCCAGATTTCTTAAGAAAAAACCTTAACCTTGCTGTACATATACAGGTTACATTTTTTTGGTATGTAGCTCATTAAGTTCCGAAATGAGCAAGTACTAAATAATTCAAGATACCTCTGATCTATCAATTTTTCAATTTCTTTAGGTTTTATAAGAAATCTATATGATAGAATGTGCAGTGGCAACTGCCAAAAAATGACCACAGTTTACCTTTTTTATGCCTTCTAGCTTTCTTTAATAAAAAGAATCATTGAGTTTCTATCATATTAAAGGCCCCCCAAAATATTGAGATTTCGTTATTCACTATTATGAACATTCCAGTTAAAGATCTGAAACATGACAATTCAGTTTAAAAAAAAATTTTTTTAACTATTAAATTTATAATCATCATCTAACCTCAAGTACAGAAATGGTCCAGTTTAACCAACCAAACCAAAAAATTGTTTTTTAGTTTTATTTTTGTTCAAACTTTGGGCTTTAATATGTTATATTTGTACTCTTTATATATTAATTTGTAATTTATTTCATGTCTTCTTTAGAGAGAGACAAACTCAAAAAAAATAGTGTTTTCTTCATGTTTGATTAATGTTATCAGTTTGACCCTACTTGCCAATTTTACAGCTTCGTCAACTACATGTTTTTATATTCGATGACATGGGTGACAGCCAGTTCATGGCAACAGACTGAACTGATAATTCTGGCTTAAACAATTTTATAGCAATATCATAATAGGAGAAAAGATTCCTATCAGACAAATGATTTTTACAACAGAAAGAATATACAGGAAATGTCTAGGTGAATAATTTTCTTTGGATTTTTCCTGATTGTATCAGGATATTTTGCCAAAGGTTTCACTGTTAGTGACTAGGAGAATCGAGACACTTGGGCTATATTTGGAGACTTTTTGGTAATGAGCTTTGTAACCTATTTAATTTATTGAACCTCTTTGACCCCCTGATGAGGAAATTATCAGCTAAATGAGAGAGACTAAAGGTCTCTTCTAACTCCAACTCAAGTTTTCTGTGATTTTTAAAGAGGTCGCATGGTACAATAAAGAGAGCAAGATTTTGTAGTCAAACTTGAATCAGATACTTTGATACTTGAACTTCCATTTCCTCATTTGTAAATTGAAATTATTTACCCAGTTAGTAATGTCATTAGGAGGATTGAAATACCGTCAAGTCAGTAACGCGATGGCAACTCGTTCTGTAACCAGTGGTCAATGCTATTATTGTTATTCTTTTAAGTCAATGACAGGATTCCTGTAAAATTTATAGGAAGAGAGGAAACGACACTTGACCTAAAGCTTGAGACTTTGCTATTAGCAAAGCAAATTCTAGGAAGATAAAGATTTAGAAGACTTAGGAGGGAGTTGAACATTCTTAGCACAGAGAACTGACGCTAGTGAACAGTGTACAGCAAATTAGTCACTTGCACATGGCCTGCTTGATTGTTCCCACTTCTTGTTCTTTCTGCAGGTGAACGTCCCTTCCACTGTAACCAGTGTGGAGCTTCCTTTACTCAGAAGGGCAACCTTCTGAGACACATAAAGCTACACTCTGGAGAGAAGCCGTTCAAATGTCCTTTCTGTAGCTATGCCTGTAGAAGAAGGGACGCCCTCACAGGACACCTCAGGACCCACTCTGGTGAGTGTCACCAGCTCTTGGAGAAAAGAGCTGAAATATGAGAATTCAGGAGAGTGCTGTCAAATAACACAGAGTAACGTATAGCTTTGGCATATACCTAGAGAATATTTTTATTTGTGTACGTTGAATAATGGTAAATCTTGCAGAATGCATATGGCCCTTCTTTTTAGACTTATGGACTTGGCAAAAACAAGCCCTGTCAACTGAAGAGTCTCTTATTCCAAGCTTTTGAAGTGAGGAAAAGCTGATATATAAGTTTTCTATGATTTTTTAATTTTACAGTTATTAATAATGCAGTAATTATGGTTAAGCCAGGATAATTGAAAATCTAGTAAAACATCATAGTTACATGCTGATGTTACCATAGAGGAGATGAGAGCTGTGATATTTTTTGACTGATATGGTGCCCAGGCGGGGACCTCAGTGGGGAAATCAAATATTGCTGTTTTTAAAATTGCAACTATTATGCTTGTTAGAAAATTGGCTGTTAGAGTATTTGATATTCCCTTTTAACTCTCCTTGTTTCTTTAACTCTCGAACTATAGTTATTGGATACTCTCTGAAACTTTTCTCTGCTTTGTAAATCATCATTAAAAAATCTAGAATAAGTTTGATTTTTTTAAAAATGTCAGAATTTAGTACATAAAAGAGAAAGAATGATTAGAAATCTGAATGAATCTCATTTGACTTCTAGCATGTATTGCCATAAGCAAGAAGTTAAAGGTGGAAAATTAATATAGAATCCTCTCAAGCCAGTTTTATATACGCCTTCTGTCCATAATGACATTTTAAAATTTAATTTTAATATGAAGATATGATGGGAGTGATGTTTTCATCTACACTGACAGATTGTATTAGAGAGGGCTGTGGATTGTGAGGTAATGCTTGTATTATCTTTCTTTACATTTTTCTCATTAATCTTTAAGGCTTTTCTTAGTTTTTTAACATGAATGTGAAATATGTAAAACTATTTTAGACATTAATTCTTAAATTTGGGGCAGTTATAGAAAAATGAAATTAATGCAAACATTAAAACAAAATATTTTAATTATATATATTCACTTTCCTCCCTGACTCAAAGTAATTCACATATTTCCAACTATGACCTTTTATATTTTATTTTAAAATTATGCTATGAACATTACATCTTAAAATGGTATTGTTTTATTATAAAAATTACTTTTTATTGAAAGATATTTTTAAGACACGAAAGTTATTTCCTACAGCTATCCATGTATTCTGGCTTATGAAAGTATTATTGAGTTGACCAAGGATTATGTAAAACATAGGTTTTCATGAACGTATCTATTGCATGAAGTTGATTTCATTGAATGATTTCATTCTTTACAAAATTGTGTTGCTTTTAATATCATGGTTTAGTGTACACATGTTACTTTACCTGGGATTGCTATATTGCTCTTAGAAGATTCAATGCCTCGTTACACCTCTGAAAGGCATTCCATATTCATCTGTTTCCTTGATTTCCTTTTTGTTCTTTTAACAGATCTATCCCTGTAGGTAGTGTCTAACAAGTCAAGACACCTTGGTTTTTGTGTTACATTGAGCTGGGCCGCTGCAACCAGCTTTGTTATGCAAATGAGGCATGACCCATCTAGGGCTCCTGGTTAGTGGCTAATGAAGTGCGGGGAGGGAAAGATGTCACCCCAAAAGTAGGCCACTCCCAATGGCTTTGGCCAGGCCAGACACTTGACATCATTTACATGATTCTGTGTAATTATAAAGCTTGTGTGTATAAAGCAAAGCTGTTTCTTTGGTGTTGTATATTTTCTAAACAAATATATTACTACTTTGAGGTTAAAAAAAATAATAAAAGACCTGGTCCCTGTAACTACTATCATGCTAATTTTGCAATTTGGTATACCAAGTCATGATTTTTGCAGATATATCAACAGATAGTGTACTCAGACTGGCTAATTAAAGGCAGTTTAATGGGGCGATGAGAGGGAGAGAGGGGTGTCTTCCAACTACTGCGCCATCAAAAGGTGATATCAATTCAGTCATACTTCCAACTGGAATCTAAAATGTTAGGCTTCACCAGTGTTTTTCATAATAGATAGAACATAAAACATAACTGCTCAAGTCCATGCTTCTCTAATTGGTCAGAAAGCTCAAATGGATCATTATAGCTTTCTTCTGCCACTACCTATTTCATCATCTCCTCTTTTTAGCACTTGGGCTGACAGGGTTCTTTATCTGATGGGTGATCCAAACATTAATTCCTAGAAGTTCGGAGTATTTGGTGGTTCTGCCTTCCTTGGATTACTGCAGTTTTTCAGTAACCAGGATTATTGGGCAAGTTTTTTTAGGAGGTGCCCCAGTGAATCTCCTGAATTCCAAACATAGTTGTCCGTGTCGCATCATAAAGCAACAACCCCAAATCATTTGGTAATCTGGAAAAGTTATCAACCAATAGCCCCCTTCTCTCCCTGTTAGTTGAGCAGCTTGAGAGACCCTGAATAGCCAGAGAAGAGTCTCAGCTTCCAATACAACAGTACCAGCACTCTGATCTGTGGTGGAAACGTTCTTCCCTTGGGCACTGAGATCTCCGAAATCGTTAATCCCAAGATTTCAGCGCAGGAAGTAAAAATCTTTTAAATAAGTTATTTGATTGATTTGTGTTGTGGCCAGTCCTACCTTAGCCTCTGTCTTCTTAGACTCATGCATTCCAGCTATGGAGGAGAAGGCTTTAGGCATCTATCATGTCCTGTAGAACACACCCAAACTTCTCCCAGCTTGCAACCATACATGACCCACTCCACTGGTAGGTCATTTACCACTCCATTTAGCCAGTTGATTCTGGATGATGGGGCATGAGGTATGATCAGTGAAATCTGTAGGTTTGAGCTCATTGCTGTATTTCCTTTGCCATAAAATGAATGTCCTGGTTGAAGGCAATATTGTAAGGAACACCATGTTAATCGGTGAGGCATTCTGTTAAATCCATGCAGAGAGAAGCTTGCAAAAGTATTGAAGGAAAGGGAGATAAATCTATATCCTGAATATCTATAAATCTATATCCTGAAGAAGTATTAATTTCTATTAGGATAAATTTTTGCCTCCTTCATGTTGGAAGGAGTCCAATATAACCTGCCTGCCACCAATTGACTGGGTGATTCCCCTGGGGAATCACTGGTGCCATATTGGAGTCTCAGCATTGGAAAGTTGTGAACTCAGCAGTGGGGGTAGTTAAATCAGTCATAGAGAGGGAGCAGTCTATGTTGTTGAATCCATACATAGTTTCCATCCCTGCTCCCAGTGTCACTTTGTACATGGAGCAAGCACCGGGGTAGCTAGGAAAAGAATCTGACTGACATTCATAAAGTAGATTGTCTGACTGGTTTGGGTCTTCCATCAGATAATCTATCCAGATTACTAAGATCCTTCTCCATAGTGGATGCCCTCTAGAGGGCATTGACATAGGACACCATATTGTCACAGTTTGTACCAATTCTGACAGGTTCATCCATGTAACTGTCCCCCAGACCTTCTGTCACCAATCTTCTAGTCTTGTTCTTCCAAGTCCTTGACTATATGGCTGTGCCATGTATCATTACCTCAGCTATCTCTCCTTCCATGCAAAGTATACAATCTGAAAATCTGTCTGCTAGAGGTATATCCTTTCACTACTATATTTCAGGGCCAGCCCTCTTCAGCGGGCCTGTAACATAGTAATCACAGCTGGTACCAAATATCATGCAATCCATTTATAAACTAAGTGTACATGATTTCATTCTCCATTAATTGGTCATGGAGAACACCCCATGAGGCTATAGATGTGGGTTGAAGGAGAGAGTGTGAAGCAGGTATCAGCTTACCTAGCTCATGACACCTAGCTCATGAAGTATACTTGGGCTTCCCAAACCTGCATGGTCCAAGTTTTATTTAACAATGCAGTGCTCTTGTGCACATCTTATTTTATATATTTTGAATCAGATAACACCTAGTTCATTTTGCTTAGTTTGGGCCACAGAGTTATTTGGAGTCCCATGGCCCAGTACTCAATCTTAACCAGAGTCCAATAGCAAGTTAGGAGCTGCTTTTCAAATAGAGAGTAGCTATTGGTAGAAGATCACATGTCTTTACTCCAAAACCATTAGGGATCTGCACTCTGACGCTTTTGTTGGCAGAGATGTCGTACAGCATTTCCCAAAGTCATTGCATGGCTGGATCTTAGAGCCAAAGCTATAGAGAGCTTTCAACACAGCAGAGGTGTGCTGCAGATCCATGTCTTGCCCCAGTCCCCTCTGAACTCAGATCACTAGGCCCATAAAATTTCACCAATGCTGCAAGTCTCTGAACTTTTCATGGAGATTACCTCCTGTGCTCTATTGTATATCTTACTGAGGCATCTTAGGTGTTTACTGCTTCCTGCTTGGCACGTCCAATCAGTGTAATTCCATGAATGTAATGTTCCAGCTTGATTCTGTGGGATGTCAAGATGAACGAGATTTCTTTGAACTATATTGTGACAGAGAGGAGAGTTGACCTAGCCTTAAGGTAAGATAGTGAAAGTATGCTGTCCCTGCAGTGTAAAGGCACACTGCTTCTGATTATCTCTGTTGATAAGGAATTATTTTAAAAAGAAATTGTTAAGTCAATAACTCCATACCTGGTGTCAGGGGCTATGTTAATATGCAGCAGTGAAGATACTACAGCTAGAACTGCATCTGCAGTTGGCTTTATGATGTGATTAAGTCTGTTTTCATCCACAGAACCATCCAGGTCTTGCATTAGCCTAACAAAGAGTACAAATGGGTACGTAGTAGGAATCACCACCCCAATGTCTTTCAGTTTTAGTTCTACGGCTGCAATCTCCAATATGGTAGCCACTAGCTGCATGTGGCTATTAAGCACCTAAATATAGCTCGAGCCACATGTTGAAATGATATTTTTGATTAATTAAAATACGTTATTAAAATTAATTCTACCTCTTTTAAATGTGGCTACTAGAAAATTTAAAATTACACATGTGACTCATA